ACATCACGTTTCTCAGAGCCAAAGGCTGCCAGGGCCCCCTTTTTTCTTCACAAAGTCGTTACAAGCTCACGATACACACTGAAAAAAAGCAATCTGTAAAATACAACTTTTGATGCAATACAGAGTGAATGCGGAGGCACATACATACGCAAAACAGGCGCACGCGCAAAACAGGAGCATGCACACACGAACGGGTATACATGCATGAAACAGGTGCATGCGTGAAGGTGTACACACGCCAAACAGGTGCGCATACACATGTGAAAGCACCAGACATGAAGGGATGTCTTTGGGAGCCTGGTTTTTAGCCATCTCCCTCACCCTTTCACATCTGCATGATCAAACACAGCACACCACAGTACTGAGGGGAAGCCCCAGCTTCTCATGGGGGCACATGAGGCTTTTTATTTATGCTACAGGTTGCATCCCTACATTCTAGAACTGCAAGGCCCTCCACTGCCAGGACTAGGTCAGGTCCACCCTGTGCTCCAAGGACCAGGCCGCCTGCCTGCCCATAGGGACCTGCCCCTCGGATGATGTGGCTGCTTTCAAAACAGAGGCTGAGCCCCACCCAGAGACCTGCAGTACCTGTTATTAAATCAAGACTTGGCTGTGGGTAAATGTGAAGATTTTTATTAAACATGACTCTGAAACATTCAAAGGACCATAACTGAATGCTCCTTTCGCAGCCATGGCATGTCCAGACGCTCATGGAGAAGGCCAGGGTGTGGGAACCCACAGAGCCCTGACAAGGCAGACTCAGAGCTGTGTGGCATAGTTAGCACCGATTTTGTTTTGACACTTGCCTTTTATATTCAGATTAAAATAAAAAACAAGATGCAAAAGTGGCTCACATTCTATTTCAATTCTCTATTTTTGTAGTAACTGGGCCCCTTTCCCTCTGGTTTCCCAGCCAAGCGTTAAATAGGCCCAGCTGGGATTTGTCAAAGTCTGGGCCTCTGTTGTACAGTAAGTGAGGGGGGTAGGGAGGGGAGCAGGAGTGGAAAGGAGGAGTAGCGGATAGGGAGGGACAGAGGGAAGGAGAGAGAGAAACCGCCGAGGGCTGGAGGCAGGGGGGATGCTCCCTGGCAGCCTCAGGCTCCCACTTCCAAGGTAACTGAGCTGGCATCACGCACGTGGTGCCGTCATATGACTTGGCTGACGCACGCCAGAATTACAACAAAATGCTTAAGGAGAAGAGTAAGCACCAGTATCTTCAGATTAGGGTAGTGTCCCAGTTTCATGCTTGCCTTGTATGACATTCTATAAATTGTAAAGATAATGCATTTTCTTACGAGCCACACTGTTCCCAAAATACTACCTATAATAAAGACCA